TCTGCCTCATTCTCCAGCTTCAGTTGGAGCTGATCCTTCTGCTCGTTCCTTGGCAGGAAGCAAGTGGTGCAGCGAGCATAGCTCAACGTCCTGGTCAGCCCCGTGTGGTTGAAGAGGGCAGGCGTCCCTATGCTGAAACACGACCCCACCAAACTCCAAAAAGGTGATGTGAAACAGGAGAAAAGGAGCAAACGGCAAAATATTGGGAGCACAGACAGGGACGGGTTTGAAGAGGGCAGGCCAAAAAGTTGAAAGAGTTGTACAAAAGACCCTTCTCCTAACCCAGTTCTGAGAGACAGCGACTTTTGTCCACCCCACCCGCAAGCAGTGGCCCCCAAAACCAATGGGTATGAGCCAAATTGCGGGACCATTAGGAAACACGCTTGGCTTTCCTGTTGGTTTCCCTCAAACAGCAGTCCAAAGGGGTTCCAGAAGTTTGAAACACAACAACTCAGTATGCATTACGGTAAGGGCACCCCCCAAAAAAAATTGCTTGGCGTTCCTTCCGGTTTCCCTTTCAACCAGCCCCCAAGAAGGGTACCAACTCCCACACAACGCGCCAGATACAGTATCTGGGCTGGCGCGCAGCCTGCCGATGGTTTCCTGCTGCATTTTGGCCTCTGCCTGCCGGCCAAGCGGCTTGCTCGGAGGGAAACCACACACCCCTCCCCCAAATATATGGGTATTTGCAATTTCCTTGGAGGTATTTGTCTTAGGTTCATGCAACAAATGTTCCACCCATCCCGGAAGAGAGCCATAGACTTGCCCTCAGGCCGCTAGCCACAATGGAAATTTTGGAATATATATATATATACATATATATATATACGTATAGTATGTGTGTGTGTGTGTGTGCAGAGAACTACTGTCGGCAAACCCTCCGAGATATTGGCTTGGGTGGGTTCGGGGAACGTGCACAGGTGCTTGAGGTGCTTTGAGAATATGTTGACCATTGCCCAAACAAACGTTACACCTAAATCTGCCGGGGTGGTCGAAAAGGCCTTTCCAGATGCACAGCTCACTGGCTCCTCATTATGATAGTTACCCCCGAGGTGGGTCAAAGGCAAACCACCGATTCCATTTTCTGACTTTGAACCTTTCCGGAAACCCCCGTTTAAACCCCCGGAAGTCAAAATGACCCCAGCTCTTTCCCCAGGTAGACGCTCGCCGAATGGATTCGCCCGCCAGCCCAACCCCCGGCCTGGGTGCTGCCGGAGGACCGAGTCTCATTGAGCTCGGCCTGAAGGACGGAAGCACTCGCTTTGAGCATAGATACACCTGGAGACATAGCAATACGTACATGTAGATATATACATGTACATACATGTATATATATATATACATATATGTATATGTACATATCTGCAGATACGTGTGCATATATATATATATATCTATATGTGTCTTTGCGGGTGCATGTCTACAGCGACAAATCAATAGATTAATAAATGAATAGGTATATAGACAGTTGGATGAAAAGACAGATAAGTTGAAAAATTGGATCTCATAAAGCAAAGAAGTAAGTGAGCAAATCGAAAACGGACACATTGATAAACAAGCAAATAAAGAAGTGAACAAATACATCAAACTATCACGATTGCATTAATTGAATGTTCATGTATATATATATATACATATATTTGGGCAAACACACAAACAAACAAACAAACATTACATTACATTACATTGCATTCAATTGCATTACATTGCATATGTATGTATGTAATGAATGTATGCATGTATGTAATGTAATGTAATGTAATGTAATGTAATGTAATGTAATGTAATGTAATGTAATGTAATGTAAGTAATGTAATGTAATGTAATGTAACGTAATGTATGTATGTATGTTATGTATGTATGTATGTAATGTAATGTAATGTAATGTCATGTAATGTAATGTAATGTAATGTAATGTAATGTAATGTAATGTAATGTATGTATGTATGTATGGAATGTATGTATGTATGTATGTATGTATGTATGTATGTATGTATGTATGTATGTATGTATGTATGTATGTATGTATGTCTGTATGTATGTAAGTATGTATGTATGTATGTATGTATGTATGTATGTATGTATGTATGTATGTATGTATGTATGTATGTAATGTAATGTATGTATGTAAGTATGTATGTATGTATGTATGTAATGTAATGTATGTATGTATGTATGTATGTATGTATGTATGTATGTATGTATGTATGTATGTATGTATGTATGTATGTATGTATGTATGTATGTAATGTATGTAATGTATGTATGTATGTAATGTAATGTAATGTAATGTAATGTAATGTAATATAATGTAATGTAATGTAATGTAATGTAATGTAATGTAATGTAATGTAATGTATGTAATGTAATGTAATGTAATGTAATGTAATGTAATGTATGTATGTATGTATGTATGTATGTATGTATGTATGTATGTATGTATGTATGTATGTATGTATGTATGTATGTATGTATGTATGTATGTATGTATGTATGTATG